GAGCTCTTGCACTGTCAGGCGCCAACGATCAAGCATCATGAGCCTTGGGCGCCCATGTTTGACTGGATTACAACTTGTAAGGGAACACCTACCCAAACGGAAGATTTATACACACCACACCTGGACTAATAAGAAAAAGATATTAGGAACTCACGTCGGCCATATCATTTCTTTTCTTGTCCAAAGTCACGGTCGTGTAAGCTGCATGATCGGTTTCAATCATCATGAGGCACGTTGCCAGTGGATGCACAATCATCCGTCGAGGAGTGAACTTCAACGGATAACTGATGTGGTTGAAAGAAGCGCCAAGCTTTTCAACCGCCATAATCCTAGAAATCTATAAATATCAAAGAAAGCGGCACACAGCAATGAGTTCACCTCAGGGTATTTTCTGCAATCGCAACAATGCCTTCCAGACACTGCTCTGAGCTGAAACTTGACGCAGACTCCAACGTTACATAGCTCAATGGAGTCAAGTGGAAACGATTCTGGTAGTGATACAACAGCCATGATCTTGAAGATGTGCAAAGAACCTAAAGGCTAAAGTGAAAATGCGTCTACAAAGAACAGATCAGGCAAACTGACAGCATCTTTGTTCTGGCTTCGAACACGGAACACCCTGACAGGTCTAGTACCCAAATATCTTGTTCTGGTGTCCATCATATCTCCAGTAACGTTGTCAACAGTGGTACGCAGCAAACAACCATTCTATAACAATATTATTCAGCAAAAGCTCAATAGAAAATACGACGTTGCACCTGAAGACCGATATTGAGATGTATGGTCGAGGATCCTTTGCCATCTTCGCTTGTGGTTTCCAACAACAACAATGACTCCGGTTGCGATGGAAGTGCTTGCATACTAAATCGAACATGCTGTCAACTCAAACTGTCCACAATGGTTCAGTACCTTAGAGGGCTAAGCGTGTCAGTAGGATCGAGGGAGATCACGCGAACAGTGCTGTCTGCGATTCCAACTGTGAGGAAACGTGATCGAAGCTCTCCTTCAGGTATTTCGCTCAAGCTCATGCACAAAACCTCATGCGGCCAGGACGTACGCTCAGTGAACTCGTTCAACT